GTAGTATACCAGTTTTCCATCTGACCATCAGGTGGCCTAAGTGCAGTTCTCTAGATGTGATGGCCAAGGGGGCAGCTTGCAGATGATAATGCTAATCAGGCGCAGCCTCCTCCTAAGCTGGCCTGTTCTTTGACCCTCAGGGTTCAATGATTGCTAGAAGAGGATAACCTCTGGAGGCCAAGGAGTGGGCTGAGGACAGGCTGAGGGGCTGGCCCAAGCCTGCTTCCCCGGGGATACCGGCTGCACAGCCTCCTGTCTCAGCTACACTCACCTGCCTGACCCAGTTCCACCTGACAGCACATCTTATGACTTGGGAGGGTCCAGCCTCAGAGCCAGGTGCTTGCCCTTCTCATTTTAGAGACAGGGGCAGTTGTGATGCAGTGGGTTGAGCCACGGTCTGTGTTGCCCATACTCCATACTGAAGTTCGCTGCCTCTGATTCAGCTTTCTGTTTAATCACCATCCTGGGAGGTGGCACATGATGGCTCAAGCACTTGTATGGCTGCCATCCACACGGGAGACCCTGATGGAGTTCTAAGTTCCTGGCTTCAGCCTAGCCCAGTCTTAGCTCTTGTGGTTATTTGGACAATGAACTAGAGGCTGGAAGATTCTCTCTCTGTCTGTCTTCAAATAAATAACAAGTAAAATTTTAAAAGGAAGATATCACATGTGGAGCATCCCTAATCCAGAACTCTAAAATGCTTCCCAAATCCAAACAACTTCAAAGAGCACAGTCATCTATAACCTGGAAATGAGATTCCATTCGTTCAGTCCGTCACACATTCATTCAAACATTTATTGAGCACTTGCTGTATGCCAGGCATTGTGGTATGCTGGAGCCCAAAGAGTGAGCCACTAGGAGCCCCGCCTTCAAGAAGCCGATGTTCTAGCTAAGGAACAGGCAGCGAGCTGGAGCAAAGCACGAACACCTTAGGCACTGACAGGCACTTGACATAAAGCAGCGCGGAGGAGGAAGGAAGTCTGGCTACGTCGGGGGTGGCTGCTCTGTGAGAAGAGGGTCTCTGAGCGTCGTAGGCCGGAGCCGCTGCTTATGTTAGTAAATAAAACGGCCCCGGGGACAGCCAGGCTCATGGATCTGCACTTGTCCATGGCAGCTTTCAAGCTCATACGGCTGAGCCAAGCCGACAGACTCAGAACGACCCCAAAGCTGAACACATCGACTCTGCTGCTTTGCAGAATATCACAAGGCACCTTGCTGGCCTGGCTCCTCAGCCAGAAAGGACACATGACCCAAATGCTGGAAAGGATGTGGGCCAAGGGGGGTCCTCTCAGGCGGCCAGTGGACTGTAAGCGGATGCAGCCACTTTGGAAAACATTTGACAGTTTCTCAAAAAGTCCCCAATCACCCTCCAATCCGACCATTCTATTCCTGGGTACATTCGTGAGAGATAGGAAAATTTCTGTCCACACAAAAACCTGTACCAGAAGGTTCATGGTATAACCCTAATAGCCCCAAAGAGAGGACAATCTGGGCTGGTGTGCTGGTTCAACTGGCTAGTCCTCCACCTCTAAGCACCGCATCCCGCACGGGTGCCAGATCATATCCCAGCTGTTCCATTTGTGACCCAGCTCCCTGGTTTCGGCCTGGGAAAGCAGTGGAGGAGAGCCCAATGCTTTGGGACCCTGCACCCACATGGGAGGCCGGAGGAAGCTCAGTGCCAGTTGTTGTGGCCAGCTGAGGAGTGAACCAATGGATAGAAGATCTCTCTGTAAATCTGCCTTTCCAACAAAAATAAACAAAAATTCAAAAATGCATTAGTTGGTAAGTGCATTAATAAGGAGTGATGTGGTCGGTCACATGGTGGAATATTACATGGCCAGGAAAGGAAATGCAGGGAGGAATTTAGCCTAGCAGCTAAGACACTCGTGTTCCATAGCAGAGTACCCGGGTTCAATGCCTGCCACTTGGCCTTGACTCCAGCTTCCTGCTAATGGAGCTTTGGGAGGTGGTGGCAGTGATGGCTGGAGTTAACTGGGTTCCTGTTGCTTGTCAGGGGAGACTTGGATTGAATTTCTGGTTTCCAACTTGGATAGGGCCCAGTCCCAGCAGTTGTGGGCATTTCGGGGAGTGAGCCAGCTACAACATGGAGGAACCATGAAAAGCTGCCAAACTAAATAAACCAGCCACCAGGGACTGGAGTCCATTCGTAGATGTCCAGGATAGGTGGCACTGTCCAGACCAAGACCAAGAGATTGTCGGGGCGGGAAGGGATGGTTCTGGAGGGCTGCAGGGTGAAGGGCACAATATTTCATTACAGGGACGTGCAAATGTTGCCCTATTGATCCGGCTGGTGGTTGCACAACCCTGTGACTCTGCCCAGAGCCATCCAGCCTCCCACTTCAAATGAATGACTCATACAGTATGTCAATTCCACCTCCATAAAGCTGTTTAAAAATGTGTCCACCTTTGTTCAAGGAAGGCCTCCAAGGAGGTGACAGTTGAGCCATCGCCTCTATCATTGGCTCAGAGCTCTCAAGCCAGAACCGGTGCCATTTTACTGTGCAAATCACCTTACAGGGGTGGGTCCCTAGTGCAGGTAAGACGGTGCTTGGGATGCCTGCCTCTATGTCAGAGGGCCAGGGTTCACGTCCCACCTCCGCTACCAATTGCAGCTTCCTGCTAATGTGCACTCTACAGATGGTGATGGTTACATTGGCCGGGTCCCTACCACCCATGTGAGAGACACGGCCCAGTTGCAGTCATTGTAGGGGTGTTTGGGGAATGAACCAGCTAATGAGAGATCTCTGTCAAGTGATTTCAACAAATAAAAAAAATTTTTAAAGGAAAGCACTTTGCAATCAATATCCCATTTAATCCTCACAAAATGAATAGATGAAGAAACTTAAGCACAGAGAGGTTAGGTGATTTCCCCCAGGTCACACAGCTGATAAACGGCAGAAGTGGGCTTCAGTTCCAGGCGTCTTAGGACATCAAAGCCCATGTCCCTTAACCATTCAGCCGTGCTGCACATTGCAGTCTCTGGATTCCTGACCTTTCCCAGAACAAAACTAGATGGAGGAACCTGGGCCAAGCACGGCCTGAGAGGAAGGTAGGGGAGTTGTGCCAGGTGTGAGTGTGCTATGAAGGGTCCCTGGGAAGGCTCAGGGAGAGGTCCCAGTGTGGAAGCGAGTCTTCTTTGATGCCTGGGCTGCTCAGTGGGTCTCTGGACCCTGGGCAGGGGGTAGGACAGGAAGGTGGGATGTCAGGAAGGGAGGGGGAGTGTGGGTCCCAGACCCCCTGGCTTCCTGAAGAACAGAGCTCAACAGTCACTCAAGGCAGGCAGTGGAGAAAAGTTGATTCCATGAGCATGGGTGGGAGCAGGTGTCCAAGCGCCATGCACGTGGCCCGGGAGCTGTACAGACCAGCACAGACCTCCCGATCAGCAGCACCTGCCCAGGGGAACTCCCATCCATCTCAGCCACCCTCCTCTCCACCTCCCTTCCTGATATCCCACCTTCCTGTCCCACCCCTGCCCAGGGTCCAGAGACCCACTGAGCAGCCCAGGCATTGATGAAGACGCGCTTCCTGCTCTTTTCTCGTCTCTTGGGACCATCTTGGCCTTTGCTCGGCCCCACTTACCCAGGAGGCCTCATCAACCCTCCCTGCCCTTAGCCTCTCACCCACACAGGCTCATCTTTTGGGTCTTCCCAAGAAATCCTCACCTCTTATTGCAGCCTTCCCCAATCCCAGGCAGGTTTCTGTACTGCATCTCCAACAAGAACACCAAGGCTGAATAACATGCATACCAGGTACCTAATAAATAGCACCTATTGTTTTGTTATTGCTCGCTGACCTGGGTAGGACAATTCCTGTACCTCTTAAATGGTAAGCCTAGGCGGGCATTGTGGAACAGTGGGTTGGGATGCCAACGTTCTGTATCAGAGAGCCTAGTCCACATTCTGGCTTCTCTACTTGCACCCCAACTTCCTGCTGTTGTTCCTGGAGCGCAGCAGAGGATGGCTGGAATATATGAAGACCTAAACAGATGTCCTGGATCTTGGTTTCAGCCTGGCCAAGCTCTGACTGTTGTAGGCACAGGGGGAGCGAACCAGTTGATGGAACTTTTCATGTGTATGCACGCACACACGCGTTCCTCTTTCTCTCTCTCTTGCAATTCAAATAAATAAACAAATAAATAAATGTTTTTAAAGTGCTCCTGTGCCAAGCACTGCATCAGTTCATACGTGCGCATGCATGTGGGTATGTAAAAAAACATACAGAGGCAATGAGGAATCAAGACGTGGGCCCAAGGCAGGAGTTGGTGGCACCTGCATCCTGAGCCGAGGCATGAGGTCTTGAGCTTTTGGTGTTCTGACTTTTACTGTTCTAACAAACACCAAGACGAGCTCTGGCTTCCCTGCCATCTCTGATGAGAACAGCAGCACGGTGTCCCATGGTTTGGCAGGTCTACAGCCTGTCATTTCTTTTTCAATGAGGTGGTCGCGGGATTTAACCGCAGACCATGAAGCCAGCGCAAGGCTGCTGGGAGGAAGGCAGCGTGCAGGATAGTGGAGTGGCCCCAAGTACCAGTTGCCTGCTGCTGGACTCTGAATCTTTCCAGGTCACTCGGAGTCACTGTCACCTGAAACACTGTCTCTCTCCTCATGGACACCTGTTCGAGGTGAGCAGCACTCCGTGGGAGACATCCTTGGGTATTAGTTTCCAAAGATGTTATGAGAAACAGAGGTGCCTGCATCTAGGCTCCAAACTCTTTCAATTCAGGCCATTCCCCACCCTCCTGGGACTAGAAACCCTTCCTTTGGAGCCTTGATCTGTCCCACAGGGCCTCTCACCTGTATGGCATCAACAAGGATCCCACAGGTCACTCAGTGGAGGAATCATGAACATATAACACGTTGTGAAATCCTCACCCAGCCATCGACTTGGAGGCACACAGAAGCCAGGAGGACACATCGAAAACCAGCGGACCACCTTTGGCTCACGCCAAGAACCCAAGAGGTCAAGAGTAGACCCAAGGCTTGGGGGAAAACATAAAAGAGCAACCCAGTGATGGACAGGACAGGCAACCCCAATGAGGATGACTAGAAGGCTTTCCGGAAGTGGACCACTTTCTGAAATGCTTGTCGAAAATCCTCATTAAATATGGTGTAGATGACAGGGTTGATGAGGGAGTTTAAGTAGCCCAGCCAGGTGAAGAAATCAAAGAGGGCCTGGGGCATCCAGCAAGAGTCCCTGCAGATGGGGAGGACCAGGGAAGCCACGAAGAAGGGCAGCCAGCAGATGATAAAGGCCCCTAGAATGATGCCCAGGGTCTTGGTGGCTCTCCTCTCGCGAGCCGCTGAAATCCGCTTGCGTTCCAGGACGCTGTCCGCAAGCCTGATCCTCACGTGGTTGAAAAAGAGCGGGGAGCCAGCTGTGTGCGAGTGTCCCTCGTGGAGGCTGGGACCGAGGGAGCAGAGTGAGGAGCTGGCTGAGCCCGTGATGAGGTGGGCCGTGGTGAAGCGCTTCCCGTGCAGGGAGGGCGGATTCAGGATGCGGCTGCGAGCTGCCACATAGATGCGACCGTAGAGGATGATGAGCAGCAGGGAGGGGATGTAGAAGGCCCCGCAGGTGGAGTAGATGGTGTAGGAGATCTGGGAGGTATTCACCAGGCAGTTGGACACCTCCCCGTGGGCGCTGGCCTGCCGCCAAAAGAGCGGTGGCACGGAGATGCAGATGGAGATGACCCAGACCACGGCGATCATGATGGCTGCGTGGCCTGCCGTCCGGCGCTTGCTATACTCCAGGGCATCCGTGATGGCCCAGTATCTGTCCAGGGCGATGACGCAGAGATGCAGGATGGAGGCCGTGCAGCACGTGATGTCTGAAGACACCCAGATGTCACACAGGACTTGGCCAAAGTTCCAGGTGCGGGTGACAGTATAGGCAATGCTGATGGGCATGACCAAGATGGAAACCAGGAGGTCGGTGGTGGCCAAGGAGCCAATGAGATAGTTGGCAGGTGTGTGGAGCTTCCTGGTGAGTAGGATGGTGGTGAGCACAAAGGCATTGGAGACGACCGTGGCCACCGTGATAATGGACAGGATCACAGCCAGGGAGATCTTCAGTGCCAGGAGGGTGCCTGGGTCCCAGGCCTCTGGGGTTCCAGTGGTGTTCAGGGATCTGTTGGCAGCCTCCTGGGATAGGCTTTGTGCCGACTGGTTTGGCGGGGACATGCTAAGTGGCTCTGTCTTCCTGCACACCTGCACACCTGTGGCTCCTTCTCTCACAGCTGTCCTGCCCGCTCAGCCACGTCATGCTCCTGGAATGCTCTGCTGTGAGCCATCCAGCCCCAGGAGAGAGACCTCAGGGCTTAACTAGCACAGGAAGACAAGGCAATAAGCAGTGGGCAGCTGGAGGTCTTTCCCGAGCCTGATGGATCTCAGGTCATCTGTGTCACTGATCTGGAACTTGACCTAGTGAAGTCCAGTGGCCTCATGCTAAGTGGCTTAGACTGGCCAGAGCACCCCACCCATGTGGGCGATGCTCTGGGATCATGGTCTTTGGTGTCTGGTCTTCTTTCAAAGTTTGGGATCTTAACATGTCTAATGAAAGCTTTGCAATCCCCAGTGCTGAATTTCAGGTTCCTTGTGGTAACCGTTAACTCAGAGAAGCAACACAGTCAAGCGCTCACTGCCTTCCCAGGTTTACCTTGACACATCACGAGGTCCATAACTCTGCTTCCTGCCCCACTGCTGATGGTCTTGAGCCTTGAGCAGACAAAACATTCCAGTTACCAAGACAGAAGGAATGCATAAGCTGGGAGCAGACAGTTCACGTGGCTCACTGCGTGCTTCCTGAGAGGGGCACGTGTTCTGAAGTTCTGAGGTTTGAAAAAGGAAAATAAAAATCAAGAGTTAGATGCTAGAAGAACAATTTAGGGAGCAAGTAATAAACTCTCAAAATGAGAGCAACAAAATCTCATCTGGGCAGTGGTGCTGGGAAGCCAGCGTTCTCAACAGGGCTGGGGGAAGACGGGCCAGTGATGAGCCCCAGCTCCACAATTCCCAAAGGGGACAAAGTCCCTTAACTGCAGAAAGCATCACGGGCTTGCTCTAAGGACAAGAAACAGGCTCTGTAACCAGGAATCGACAAGCATCCAACTAGTATTCAACAACAAGGCAAACTGTGCCCTGGCAGAGAAAAACAAAAGGACACCAAGAAAAACATCAGATTGCTACAATGTATTTCTCTAGGAAGTCTGGGGGAAGACACTTTTTGACTGGCTGGAATTTTTCAAATTTCCTAGGGTGAACACAAATGACTCTCTCAAAACCAAAAACATCAAATACCACACAAGTGAAAACAAAAACATTGTTTTGCTAAGCAAAGAAGTCCACCACCAGAAGCAAAACTGAGCCCTTTCCAAGGCGGTTCTTCAGATCCAGAAAGCAACGTCCCACATACTCAAGGGCAGCTGGAAATGCGGCCACTTCCCACACTTGAAAGACGCATTGATATTAATGATCAGAGTGAGGGCAGCAGAGGGCAGTCCCTGAAGGCCCTCTGGCAGGAATCCAGCTCAGCAGGCAATACCCCCACTCCTCCCAGGTACCATGGGGCTGGCAAGAAGATGGCTAAACTCCTGAGCCCACCCCTCTCCCCTGCCTTGCAGGCAATGCTCAACTCCACCAGCAATCTCTTTTCTTCATTTTTTTCCTCCCAGATCAATTCAACAAATAGATCTATTTAGTGCACCAATCACAGCTTGGCACAGGAGGCACATGTGCGGCTCCATCATGCACGTTTGAATTTGTTTTGCAGTTTGTATGTTTTCCAGTGTCCTGTATTTTGCATAATATTGCACTAGGTACTCTTGCATCACTTTTTTTTAAAGATTTATTTATTTATTGGAAGTCAGATATACAGAGAGGAGGAGAGACAGAGAGGAAGATCTTCTGTCCAATGATTCACTCCCCAAGTGAGTGCAACGGCTGATACTATGCTGATCCGGAGCCAGGATTCAGGAACTTCTTCCAGGTCTCCCACACGGGTGCTGGGTCCCAAAGCTTTGGGCCTTCCTTGACTGCTTTCCCAGGCCACAAGCAGGGACCTGGTAGGGAAGTAGAACTGCCGGGATTAGAACTGGCGCCCATATGGGATCCCAGGGCGTTCAAGGCGAGGACTTTAGCCACTAGGCCACGCCGCTGGGCCCCACTTTTTTTTTTTCTTAAGTGCTAGTCCTGTCAACACTTTTAACTTATTATTTACTTTCATTTTTATTTAAAAGGCAGACAGAAAGAAAGATATTCCTTTGGCTGGTTCACACCCCTAATGCCTGCAACAGCCAGAGCTGGACTGAGTCTAAAACAGCAGCTGGAACTCAATCCAGGTCACCCACATGGGGGGCAGGGGCCCTGGTATTACAGGCATTATCTGCTGCCTCCCAGGGTACGTGTTAGCAGGGAGCTACAGTTGGAAGCAGGGGAGCTGTGCTAGAATCACTCAGAGACAGGAGGCAGGCATCGCAAGTGTGTCTTAGCGCCGAACACCTGCTGTACTCCCCTCCCTAGTCTTCCTGGAGGGCTGCAGCTTGCTCCACTCAGCAGCTACATGAAGGGGAAGTGTTTCGTAATGTTTCTTGGCGAGGATGGAGGCGAAGTGCTAAAGACCCAGAAGTGCAAGGCCGGATCAGAGGAGGACAAGGGCAGCTGGGTGGAGCCCAGAGGGTGGACAGGGAGAGGCGCTCAGGGGCACGATGGGCCTGTGGCTGGAGTGGGAGGCAGCAGGGCAAAAGGGAGAGTTGGCCTTTGGGCAGTCTGTTCTCTTCTCTCCGTTAAACCCCAGTCCACCTGTCACATCCTGGGCAGCTTCCTCTTTTCCAACTCTTGGATTTCTCGCTCCACACACGGCCTCAAGGCTCCCGGTGTGTCCGACCAGGCCAACCCTTGGAGTCCAAGACAGATCTGAGAAGGAGTTAGGATCATCTCACTCCCCCTTCTCTCTCTCTCTCTCCCTCTCTCTCTCTCTCACGTTTATTTCAAAGGCAAATGAGAGAGAGAATTTTGCTGTTTCCCTCCTCAAGTGCTCGCAACAGCCAGAGCTGAGCCAGACCGCAGCCAGGAGCTGGGAACTCAGTCTCGCTGTCCCGCGTGGGTGGCAGGGATGCAAGTGCTTGAGCCATCTTGGAGTAGACATCAGCAGAAGCAGAAGTCAAACCCAGGAACTCGGACACAGGATGCAGGGCTCCCAAGTACGGCTTATCTCGTGCCGCAACTCTCCTCCCCCAATTAATGGATTAGTAAAACATTAAGAAGCTAAGCTATAACAGGGTAGCTTCCCCAGCACAGAGCCACCACTGAAGGAGGTCAAGCCTGTGTCACCAACTCCAACCTGTACCCCAGAGTTGGAAGGATGCTATCAATGCATCTTGCTCTTGCTATGTTCCAGGCATCAAGCCAATCCCGGAGACTGAGAGTACCCCCCTACAGCTGTGAGGTGGGCAGCACGCCTTTCAACTTAGGACAGCCGAGGTGCAGCGACGGGATGGCACCTGCCCAAGGTCACCGGTTGGAAGTAGAAGAACCAGGTCCGAGCTGTTGAAATGTCTGACCTTCTCACTGCTTCAATTCAGGACAAAAAGCCTCAAGGCACAGGTGCTTGCAGGAACCAAGCCAGTTTGGGACCCCTCCTGCCCCCACCTGCTTGAGGCTGCATATCCCTGGAGCCCCAGCTGAAGGAGGTTCCCACGACGGGTTCCCACGGAAAACGTGACTGCCTCGCGGTTGGGCATGTTCTGCCCTGCAGACAGGCGTCATTCCCAGGGCAGGCTGCTCCCACAGCCCCATGCATGCGGTCATGGGTTCCAGGCATTCCAGCGACCTCATTCCAGTGGAAGGCGTGGGCTCACAGTTGGTGGATGAACAAGCCCTCCCAGCCCCTCAGCGACATCTGGGAAGGAGGACTGGGACAGGGCACAAGGCCTTCGGTAGGAAGGCTGGCATGGAGCTTTTATTTCTATTTTGCCTTTTAAAGTTTGTTTTCTTTTTATTGGAAAGGCAGAGTTACACAGAAAGCAGGAGAGACAAGTCTTCCATCCACTTGTTCATTCCCCAAATGGCTGCAATGGCTGAAGCTGGGCTGCTTCAAAGCCAGAAGCCTGGAGCTTCTTTCAGGTTTCTCAAGGATCTGTTCCATTCTCGGCTGCTTTCCCAGGCCATAAGCAGGGAGTTGTATTGGAAGCGGAGCAGCTGGGACTCGAACCAGTGTCCACAGGGGATGTTGGCACCACAGGCAGAAGTTTAACATAATATGCTGCAATGCTGGCCCTCTTTTATTTTTAATTTGAAAAAAAATGTTGTTATTTTATCTGAAAGGCAGAGAGATAGAATGACCGTCCATTCCCTGCTTCATTTCCCAAAAGCTCACCAACAGACAGGGATGGGCCAGACTGAAGCCAGGAACCTAGGACTTGGTCTGGGTCTCAGACACAGGTAGCAGGAACCCACGTACGTGAGCTGCCACCTGCTGCCGCCTAAAGTGTGTATCAGCAGGGAACCTAATCGGCAGCACAGAGGAACCAGGATCAGAATCAGGCATTCCAATATGCAGGTACCCCAAGAGGGGGCTTAACAAGCGTCAGTCTACAGATGCACCATCATATACACATAGTCACATTATCTTCTGTAGAGGTTGATACACTTGTATTTTTCTTTCAACAGAACCATGCTAAGAAGCAAATTGGCCCCCATATGGGATCTTGGTGCATGCAAGGCAAGGATTTAGCCACTAGACTATTGCGCCAGGCCCATCCAGCTCCTTGTCTGTGGCTCGGGAAAGCAGGAGAGGATGCCCTCAAACCTTGGGACCCTGCACCCACTGGGAGACCCAGGAGAAGCTCCTGGCTTCAGGTTTCAGATTGGCTCAGCTCTGACCACTGTGGCCACTTGTGGGAATGAACAAGCAGATGGAAGATCTTTTTCTCTGTCTCCTTCTCTCTGTAAATATGACTTTCTAATAAAAATAAATAAATCTGAACCAAAAAAAAAAAAAAAAAGAACCATGCTGCAAGCAACAGCATATTGCTACATTCACATCTATTGATACAATTTAGACCAGAAGGTATGGATTCTGGTCCCAGCTCTGCCCTTGATCAACTAACGGGGTATTCTGCAGGATGATTTGTTTTAGAACCCCAGTTTCTTCCTTGACAAATGAAAGCAAAGACCACACTGTCCCCTCCACTTGGGGTCTTGAGTAGCTCAGAGAAGATC